TGCTGGCCCTCTAATCTCCTCTCCTGTCCACCTGCCTCCACTGAGCACTTGGCTCCAAGATTGGCTGCCTTACCATAGCAAAGAACTACAAAATTCCAGGCTGAAGGTAGTGGCGGCTTGCAGCCAGTGGTGGAAAAGCAATAGGTCAGAAGTGGGTGTTTGTATACATCAGGGAGACAGAGCCACTGTAGGACCTGCCAGAGCAGCGCTGGGAGTGAACTCCGAGGGTCAAGGATGATGGCAGAATGCTAGTCTGAGAGCTGAGAACGTTCAGAGGAGGTTGGTGCCCCAGTCAGTTTCCACCACTGGGCAGAGAGTGCTCCAGCTGTATGGATACAAAGGTTAGGGTGAAGACTTGTTCCCCAAGTACCAGAGGACTGAAAGGCACAAGGAGAAGCGGGAGGCAGAACCTGAGACAAGAGGCTGAGAGCGTGGAGGGAGGAGGCAGGACCCCAGGTCACCCTGAAAAAGCAGCAGGGATCTCTTACTGCAGACTGTGACCTGTGCCCTGTGGGTGGGGCTTCCTGGTGGGCGTGTCCTCCAGGGTGGGTGGGAATCTGAGGGCTACAGTCAACACCCAGCACCTAGGATTTGGGAGCTTAGTTGCCAACTCTACACCAGTATGCCCCATGGAGGCCAGAAAGTCTAGAAGATCAACCGTGTGAATTTTGAAGTCAACAAGGACTGTGACAGGAGCCGCTGGAGAAAGTGATAGGGAATCAGGAGTGAACCTTCAGAAAGTATAGGGAGGCCCCCCTGGGTTGCAGTGGACTTCACAAGGTGTGGTCTGTTAATAAGATGAGATTCAAAGCTGGGACTTTTTTTGGTGAAGAAGAAACTAGTCTGGATGTGACCAGCAGAAGGAGAGCAAAGCGTACCTCTCCAGAGTGGTGGTCCAAGGAGACGGAAGAGAGAAGCACCCACGGAAGCCCACAGGGAGGTGGCATCACAGGCAGACAGGGTGGGAAGCTCTGTCACCACACAGAACTGGGGGGACATGGCTTCCCCAGTGTGGAGAGGTGTCAATATTCAATAATGGAGAAAGATGTTGACAATGCCCAGACCTCGGGGGAGGTGCTGTCATGCATCAGGTGTTGGGGGGATGCTCCAACTGCCCAGCATCAAGGGCCAAGGGAAGGTGTCTTGGTCCCCTGGTCTGTAAAAGTGAAAGATGCCCCCTCAGGGTTAGGATTACGGTCCTGGTCATCTGCTTCCTTCTTCTCTATACTGAATCCTGGGTTCCTCCAGCCCTAGCCTCTGCCACTTTATCATCCCAGCACCCAACTCCCATGCTCCAGGAGAGACCCTGCCATGACTCTAGCCTGGTCACATGGCAGATCTGGTCCTGGCTGCCTGAGTCCACAGGCTGCTGCCCCTTGGCAGGAGAGGAGGGAACAGGAGGATGGGGTTGCCGGTCATGGTCTATGGTGTCTCTGATATCCTGGGACCCATGTGCCTGTGGAATGCTGAGGGGCAGGGTGTGGGTGGAGATGCCACCCCCACGTCAGAGGTTGGGAGGGGCTTATGCACAGACAGCACTGGCAGGCCCCCGAGGGACACTGTCTGAATATTGTGGAATGCTGTCATGGGAACCAGATGTGAGAAAGACCATCCCCTGTGTTCACCTTGGGGTGAACCCCCAACCTGCCCAAGGCTGCAGCCCAGTGTCTGGACTGAAAAATACACTTATCTTCCCACACAGACTCCCCCACTACCTTTCCTGCCCAGTGGCCAACAGTGGTCCCTAGAGATACCCCTGGGACCATCAGCCTACTGGGATTTGGCCAATTCAAGTCTGGATCTAGGAGGACAGATAGTTGGCCTTGGATAGCTGCAAAAGTCACCTCATCAGATGGACAGCCAGTGCTGGAAGCTCCTGCACCTCTGTGAATGCCAGAGAAAGGAAGGAACAAGGATTGGGGTGGGGGGCTGGGAAGGGGGGTGGGTCCAGGGCTTGGGCCATTTTAGCTATTCCAGTTACTATTGTCTCGTAACAAATGACCCCAAAGGGTCACAGTAGCACTAGCCATGTGAATCAAGAATGGAACAGAGCACACAGGGGCAGCTGGGAAAGTGTGAGTGGGGGCTCTGAAGCGGCAGGTTGGGATCACCTGTCTGGCAGCTGAGATTTCTAGGCTCCTGGCTCAATACTTATACAAGGCCTCTCCATGGGGCCCTTCCAAAGAGGCCAGTTTGAGCTTCCTCACAGAGGAGTCAGTGGTTTCTAGGAGTGAGTTTCCCAGGACAGCAAGGTGAACGTTTCTAAAGTCAAACCTCAGAATTCATAGCTCACCACTGCCCCTGTCTTTGCTGGTTAATGTCATCACAAAATCTCTCCAAAGACACACAGGTAGAGTATTTGAGGTGGATGTATTGTAGCCATCTTTGGAAAATGCAGTGTTCCACATCAGTATTTCTCAACAGTTTCCCAACTGCAGCCCAGGACTCTCCCTCCCTACTCAGGGCAAGGGAGCCCCTACAGCCCCCAGGAGTCCCAGGTCCTACCAGAGATCAAATCCAGATGTAAAAAGCAGAGAGGGGACAGCCAGAGGTACGAGGGCCCAGAGAGAGAGTGGGGGTGCAGCCCAGTGGGAAGGACACAGGGATGTAGATGACACCCCTGGGAACTCACTCTGCTCTGGGCAACAGAAGGTTGCTTGTTGGGGCTGGAGGGGCCAAGAAACAGGCTTCTGAAGACCCCAGGTAGGGAGGGGGTGTCTCAGAGGGTAGAGGGTACAGTGGGGCATGTGGCAGAGGTGAATCCAGGTGACTCCATCCTGCTTGCACGTGCTGGGTGCTTTCAAAATCAGATCTCATTTATCTTCTCAGTGAAAGTGTGAAAGTGTTAGTTGCTCAGTCACGTTCGACTCTTTGCGACCCCATGGACGATAGCCCAGGGCTAAATGAAAAGGTAGCCCATTTTACAGGTGAGGAAACAGGTACAGGAGGGTCCTTCCTTCAGTTGCTCAGTTGGGTCCGACTCTTTGCAACCCTTTTGGCTGTGGCCTGCCAGGCTGTCCATAAGATTTCCCAGGCAAGAATACTACTGCAGTGGGTGGCCATTTCCTCCTCCAGGGGGTGGGGGTGGGGGTCTTCCCCCACCCAGTGATCAAACCTGCATCACAGGCATCTGCCCTGGGCCCCAGACTGGACCCCTGGGAAAGAGTATTGAGGTGGGGGCCAGCCAGCTTCGCCACCCACTAGGTAGAATGTAGTGTGGGAGGTGGCCCTTCTGAGCTAACAGTTGGCCTACTCTGCTGCTCAGAAAAGCCAAACATGACTCTCCTAGACCACTCTGAGGCCCTGAAGCCCCTAAAGCCCTGCTCCTGCCTGTCCCTGCCCCTCCTCCCTTGGCCCTGCGGTTCCTTTCCATTCTGGGAATGCCACTTCCTCCTCTGGACTTGCAGCAGCTGCTAACTAAGTTGCTTCAGTCGTGTCCAACTCTGTGTGACCCCATAGATGGCAGTCCACCAGGCTCTCCCGTCCCTGGGATTCTCCAGGCAAGAACACTGGAGTAGGTTGCCATTTCCTTCTCAATGCATGAAAGTGAAAAGTGAAAGTGAAGTCGCTCAGTCTTGTCTGACTCTCCACGACCCCATGGACTGCAGCCTACCAGGCTGTTCCATCCATGGGATTTTCCAGGCAAGAGTACTGGAGTGGGTTGCCATTGCCTTCTCCAGCAGAGCTCACTGCAAAAATACTATCCAGACCACTTAGTGGAAAGAAGGCTTTCCGCTCCCCCAACAAACTACACATTTCTTTCTGTCTATGGAAACCATGTCAATATTTATTTTGCTCATTTGCCTTTTCCTCCCGCATCAATTCAGAGTCCAGGAGACGCTTCCCCAGCCCCAAGGGCACTCGGGCCCACAGTGGGCCTCCAGAGAGGTCTGTGGGACACAGACAAGACTGCCCAGGCCACCATGGGCTGGCATCCCCAGAACTCAAAAGATGATTGTGCCCCACAAGGGAATTCAAAGTGAAAACAACATCAAACACGAAAATAAGCTTAGCCCTCTTTCCTCCACGTGCTTCTTTGAAATAACAAACAGAAATGTAACAATTATCCTTCACTTTTCATGAGTTCTACTTTCTTGGCTGCTGCTTGGTTCATCACTGTTGGGTAAACCAGAAGACAGTGACATCACCAGTGACCATACATCATTACATCTGGCCTGTGTCATCATCTACCTTAACCCTGAGACATCACCTATGATTGCCTGCAGACATCACCAGCCTGACCAGTAACATCCTACATTCCGTACCATGACATCATCCTGCCTGTGATGATGTCACTATCTGCTCTGAAGCATCTTTCATTGGCCCTGTGATGCCACCCTGCCTCCCTCACGACCTTGGCCAGTCAGCCTCTCTCCTGTCCAGGGGCTGGTGTTCCACGTCCACTGTGTCCCCAGCATCGTGCAGATGCTGCTGGCGGCGAGGGTCAGATTCGCAGGCCGCGCGGAGGTCCAAGGCCCCGGCGGGATCCGCGGAAGGCGGAGGCTCGCCGGTTCTTCGTGAGCGCATGAGTGCCCCACGCGAATTTTCCTTTCAGACGTCCCGCGGTCCCCGCTCGGCCTGAAGGTGAGCCTCGCGCCTCTGCCCTCCCGGAGAGGCCCCCTCCCAGCGCACCGCTCGAACGGGGGACCGGGGCGAGGCGATTTTCCCGCCTGGCCTGCGTGGTCCGAGGTAGGCGCGTTAGGGGTGCCCCGGCTCGCCTTTGTCGCCAGCGGGGTCTGTGGGCCTGGAGCTGACTCGTGACTGACAGCCGGCGGGGGCTGCGGCCGGGGGCGGGCTGCCCGGCGCCGGCGGCTCATTGGCTGGCGCGAGTGTGGGAAAGAACGCGGAGAGGGATTCCCACGCCCCGCAGCCGCGCTGCCTTAAATAGCCGGGCTGCTGCAGACACGCGCTTGGTAGCTGAGCCTGGGACCCGCGGGAGAGGGGCCTGGGAAACCGCGCGCTCAGCCTGCCCTCGGCTGGGACCGGCGTGGGGGCGCACCATGCCTGCGGACACCCCGGGGAAGCCGAGGGCCTCGCCGCGGACGGGAGCGTCGGCTGGCGCCAGCCGGACCCCAGACCAACCCCGGAGCGTGGCCGAGCACCGGAAGGTGGGGACCTGGCTGGGCGCGGGTTGGCAGGAGTGGAGGGGGGGGGGCGGCGCGAAGGGGAGAGGGGAGCTGACGCCCGCAGGACTCAGCGGCTGTCGGCTCCGCAGTCCTCCAAGCCCGTCATGGAGAAGCGGCGCCGAGCGCGCATCAACGAGAGTCTGGCTCAGCTGCAGAGCCTCCTCCTGGACGCCCTCAGGAAAGAGGTGAGTTGGGGGTGGGGGCGAGATCGGGGAGCCTGGAATCCCGGCCTTCCTGGGCGGCCCGCCGCCCTCACCGGCCCCGCCCGCAGAGCTCCCGCCGCTCGAAGCTGGAGAAGGCGGACATCCTGGAGCTGACCGTGAGGCACCTGCAGAGCCTGAGGCGCGTGCAGGTGACAGGTGAGCCGAGGGCGGCGGCGAGGGCTCAGGGGCCGGGGCTGCGGCCGCAGGCACCGACCGCCTGTCCCTGCCACCCCCGCAGCCGCCCTCCACTCGGACCCCGCCATCCTGGGCAAGTATCGCGCCGGCTTCCATGAGTGTCTGGCCGAAGTGAATCGCTTCCTGGCTGGCTGCGAGGGCGTCCCTGCGGACGTGCGGTCTCGTCTGCTCGGCCATCTGGCGGCCTGCCTGGCCCGGCTGGGGCCTGCGCGCCGCCCGCTTCCACTGGCTCCAGCCACCGAAGCCCTGGAGCCGGAGATCTACGCGGGCCGCCCGCCGCCGCCAGCCTTTGACGGCCTTTGCCCCTTGCCGCGCCCCGGGGCGGCCTTGGCACCCATCTTCCTGCCGGGGTTGGCCCTCGCCGCCCCCAGGGCCGGGGCTCAGGGCCAGGGTGCGCCCTGGAGGCCGTGGCTGCGGTGAGGCTGCGGCCCTAGAATCGACTGAGACTGTGCCAGAAAATGGTTATTTCCAGAGACCGGGTAGGGAGTTTTGTTTTGTCGTCTTGGTGAAGGGTCCAGTTCGTCCGAGGCCCAGCGGCTGATGTCTTCTCATGAATGGGCGGGGTGGGCAGGGCCGGGCCGTGGGGTGGATTCAGCTCCCACCTGGGCCAGCGTTGCGCTGCGCGGGGGTTCGTCCGCCCTTGAGTTTGGCTGTGTCCCTATGTGCTGAAGCCGCTACCCGCCTCGAGCGGGGAGGGTGTGTGTGAGATGTCCCTGGGGGGCTCAGGCAGGACTGAACAGTCACCACTTTCCTAGAGCGTCTCCCAGTGCTGAGAAGAGGTCGTGCATCATCCTGGGGCCCAGTTCTCTCTCCACAACCCCTCCTGAGGCCCCTGGAAGGCGGAGATGTGTGCACACTGTTGTCTCTGGGGCTGAGCTGGGCTGAAGCTTGGGTTCTGGACTGGTGCACCGCCTCCCTTCTCCTGGGGGAGCACAAAACTATTCTTGCACACCTGTGGGTCAAGCCTGCCCCAAGCCAGTGTCTGCCTAGCAGATGGGGGCCAGCAGGAGAGGGCGTCTGAGTCCTAGAGGCAGGGCCCCCGACCGGCCTGACAAAGGGCAGTTTGTATTGGGGCTCATCTCCCACCAGAGTCCAGTCCTGCCCTGAGAGGGGAGTCCCCTGACAGTAGGAAGGAACTGGGGGTTCATTGGCAGGCCTATGCACCTGTCTTGAGCACTGGCTGTATGCTGACCCCATAATACAGTGATCCTAGCCAGCAAGGGGCATTGGCCGGGGAGCCACTGTCTTGTGGTCCCAGGTCTCCTCAGGGTGCTGCTGGGGGCTGTGCTCCTGGGGCAGTGAGGAGGTGGTTGAGTCATGTGGCTGACACTGCAGTGTCTCATCCTGAGCCCTCTGAGGTCAAGGCAAGATGGATTTCCCATCCACAGGCAATTTCATCAGATGGTTGCCAGCCACTTGCCTGACCAGGGAGCATCAGGGAGGAGGAGGGAGAGTCACTGCTAGAGGCTTATCTCCTCTTCCAGTGGCTCCAACAGTTCCTGTTCCATGTCATGGTCGCGAGCAAGGTTCATCTACCCTCCGGGACTCAGCCGTGCACACCAAGTAGGGCCCTCCAAGTCCCACCAAGCCAGTCCCCTCCTGCCCTCTGGCTGCCTGGCCCATCTCCCTGGGTGTCCAGGGTCTGGGCCCGGCCAGTGATTCGGGGCAGTGGCAGCCAGTGTGGGCCAGGAGCCGCACCCTGGGACCGGCACACACACACTGGTCCAGGCTCTGGGGAGGCTCAGAGAGCTGGGTCACCAGCAGGACTATGGGGGAGTTACTGCTGACCTGGGAGGCCCTCCCAGCAGAAGAGTTGCAAGAGGGTCCATTTCAGGAGCCAGAAGTTCAGCTTGTTTGGGGAAGGGGAGCTGTTTGGGGTGGAGGCTCAGTGCAGGAGGGGAAGGCAAGGGATGTTGGGATGTGAAGCCAGGTGGTTGGGTGGGTAGAGGGGTGGATAGGGCCTCCTCAGAGCTGGTTCCACATGGCCTGAAGGAATAAAAGGGAGCTCACCACCTGGTTGCCACAGGGAGGAGGGCTGCCCAGGAAGGTAACCTGGAGATCGGGTCATCACTCCTCAGGGAGGGGGCAATCACAGTGTCAAATCAGATCCCCCTGTTCCTGGGCTGTGCTCCCCTTCACTTGTTTATTTCCTATTCCTGGTCATCTGTCCTCAAGACGCTGTCGCCAAAGAGATGTTTGTGCTGAGGCCCCTGTCAGCCCTCCAGGGACCTCTCCGGCTCTGAGGGAACCACACTGTTCCTCAGACAGGCAAGTTCCTCGTGTGTCTGTCCCTTCCCTGTCCCCCTCTGTCCCTTCCCTACTCAGCCCTTTCCCGGCCCCCCGAGGTCCTCGCCCCACTTTCCCACCTGAGGCGGCCACCCCAGGCGCCGAGGGCTCTGGAGGCCAGGGCCCTGTCTGTGTCACTCATTCCTATCCCCAGCACCTGCTTGGAACAGAAAGACACTCAGGCCACACAGACCTCATTAATTAGCTCTGGTGAAAGGAGTGCCATCCTGGATTAGATTAGGGGAGTCTGAGGAAGCACAGCTGAAGCTGGGCCCCCTCCCCAGGCTGCCCCTGGGCAGTTGAGGGCAGTATCCTGGCGTCTGCTGGGGGCAGAGCCATGGCCCTTTGCACACTCAGCCTGGACCCCTGCCTGGTCTTTGGAGAGCTGGGGTGGACTCTTCTTCCTTCCACCCTCCCCACTCTTCCACCCATTGCCTGTCCCTCCCCTGCCTCAGAGGGGCTCGGGAATTCCTCTGCACCGCTCCCCTCCCCAGCTATTTGTGTCTTGGCTTTTGTCTTGCAGACTTTCTTGATGAATAATAAAGGAAGCACCTTCTCTGGGCAAGCTGCGGAGGGGGTGGGGAAGGAACCAGAACTTCCTCCTTCTGGGGGGAGGGTGTGTCCCCTTTCCCCCTCCACTGGCAGGTGGAGCTGCGTTCCTCTGTGGCCTCCGTCCAGCCCAGTTCCTGGCGGAGACCAAGGGTCAGTGAATGTTTGCTGAATTCCTGTGTGCAGTCAGGTGCTCTGCCTGCCTCTGTGGGTGTCTAAGCCCTGTGGAACCCTGTGACTCTGGGTCCCTCTTTTTTGCCTGTGAGGTCAAGGCTTGGGGACCAGAGGATAACAGCAAATCATAGGTGTTTGAAATCTGGAGAAAGAGTTGGTCCTAATGGTGACAGCAGTCAGCCTTACCAGGCCCATAAAACTCCAGGCACTTGGGAATTCGAAGTGGGGTAGGACCTGGGGCTCCTGGGAGCCTTGACTTTAGAAAGGTGAGGCCTCAGCTTCCCCACCAGAGCCCTGTGATCGCCTGATATCTCCAGGCCCCAACAGCCTCCTCTAGGCTCCAGGACCTGCTCCCCTTTCCCCCGAGAAGGAAGCTGAGCCCAGACGGTTCTGGAGCTGTGCCTGGCTGCTCTCTGCCCCTTGAAGCTCTAGGGGCCATACCTATCCTGGGAGGCAACATTGGGCAAGGAAACAGGCCCTGGGGTTGACAGCTTTCCAAGAGGCCCCCCCAAGAGCCCCGACCTGGTACTCTACCTCTGAATGTACTGAGGTTGAACTGCATTAGCAGTAAGGTTATGTAGAAGATGAGGTCGCAGGGGCATCCTGGCCTGTCTCTCTCTGTCTCTAACATCCCCCACTGTGAGGGAGGCCAACTGTCTTTTGCTATGGAGAGGCCAACAGAGTGTGGGGTTTATAAGCTGGTCTCCAGCCTTCAGATGGGACCCCAGCTGCCTCCGACATCTCAACAGCAATCCGAAGAGACTGAGAGCCAGGACCACCCAGCTGAGCCGTTCCTGGACTCCTATCCCTCAGAAGTTGTGTGAGATAATAAGTGTTTGTTGTTTTAAACTGGTAAATTATAGGTTAATTTGTTGTACAGCTATAATTAACAATAATGTTTTACGTAAAATTAAAGTAATTGTAAGTAACAATAGCAATATACAACTAATGTGCCCACGGTCACCCAGGGCCGCCAGCACCACGTGCCCACTTGATGATGGGGCTGTGGAAGAGTTGGGTGGCGCGAGGCCCAGAAACAGCCCTTGCAGTGGTGGTGATGAGCAGAGCAGACTGGACTCATGTCCATTGAGAAGCAGTTCCCCTGTAAGTGCCAGCCCCCTGTCCCCTTCCACCCCCATCCTGGGCTGACCAGCCACAGCCCAGGCCCATCCCTGTGGCTTGTGGGCAGGGCAGGGGCCATTTCCCTTTCAGTAACTGAAGGGGCACAGAACATGTATCAGAATATGGTGTTGGGGGTTCCGGGGCCCCAGATTTCAAACAAAAACAGTCAGGGGCAATGCTCCATGCTGGGAACCACAGAACTGACCGCCCTGCCCAGGGAGGCTTGTTCCCATCAGCCCTGCCATTCCCAGCATGAACCCTGCAACCTGCCCCAGGGCCACACTGACCTGTCCCCAGTGGGCACATCAACCCTGTTTGCAGCCCAGTGTTCATGGTGACCAAGAGGCAACTGGCTGCTGCTGCTTCAGAGGTGTCCTGCCTGACCCTGACACCCACCTGGTGACTTTGGGCTCACTTCCTGGGCTCCTGCTTCAAACAAAAAGTCTGCATGTCTGTGTGGGGACGTGGGGGCCAATTCCTGCCTTCCCATCTTTACCCACAAGTGGGTCAGAGGCTGGTGAAGAGAAGGACTTCCCTTTGCTAGGATCCCCCAGCACTCCTTACTCTGTCTAGCACATGGGATAGGGCTCAGCAGCTCCAGGTGTGGGGAGGCACCGCAGTCCTCTCCTGGCCGCCATGTCCATTCCCTGACATATGAGCTGACCATGACTTGGGCCATACATGACATCCAGGGGCCGGGCTCCAGCCAGGGCCCCTCTGCTCCTGACCCTCCCTTCACATGGCCTTTCAAAGCCCAGGCCTCTGGGGCCCTGGGCTTGGACTTTCCCTGCCAGCCCAGGGTCAGTAAAGTGTTAGGGAAGACCTGGCCGAACTTCCTCTACCTGGATCAGGAGGCTGGTTCTGGACCAAACCCCAGGTGAGACAGGGCATCATCTGGCTGTGTATACATGGGATTTTCTTCTCTCTGTGTCCCCTGAAGTTTGTTTTGTTGAATTAAGAGGTGAGAGTAACGTCCCAGGACTGAGCTGACCAGTCTGCCCACTTGGAGCCTGAACTCTTTGGTCAGACTTTTCCAGAGTAGAGCCCAGGTCCCATGGATTGAATATTTGTCTGCAAACTGCCCCTTGCCCTGCTAATTCATATGTTGAATATTACCCCCAAGGTAGTGGCTTTAGGAAGTGGGGCCCCTGGAAGGGAATTCCGTCACAGATGGCATTAGTGCCCTTCCTTTTCCAGAGAGACGAGAAGGGACAGCTCATGCTCACTCTGCCCTGTGAGCATGTGGCTAGAAGGCAGGCTTTCGCCGTGAAGAGGTCCTCATGGAACGCACACCTGTGCTGGCATTTGCCTCTGGGTTCCTATTATTGATTTGTGCTGTTAGGGCAGCCCAACTGACCAGGATGCCTGGGCTTGATGTTACTACACAGACAGGAGCCTGGAGGTGGTTGCTGACTGCCCCTCCCGGGACAAGAACAGGAGTTCTGGGTATTTGGGTTGGTGCTCCTTGTGCTCAGGTCCTTCCCTGCCACACAGATTTGACTCCTGTGCAAACCCAGAAATCGACGTCTTCCTGGGTCGGGAGGAGTTCCAGCCTGAGCCCCAGGGTCCTGGGGAAAGTTGGAGCCGCCCCAGCTGGAGCTGGGGAGTGTTGTGTGGAGCGAATGAAATAAAGCCTGTAATGTGTCAATGAAATTTCATTTAACTATCAAAAAGAAAAAAAAAGGGAATTTTATTTGAGCCAAACTGAGGATTATAACCTGAGAAGCAGATTCTCAGGGTTCTGAGTACTGTTTCACTTTTGGTGTTGTTCAGTTGCTCAGTTGTGTCCGAGTCTTTGCATCCCCGTGGACTACAGCATGCCTGGCTCCTGTGTCCTTTACCATTTCCCAGAGTTTGCTCAAACTCATGCCCGTTTAGTTGATAATGCCATCCAACTATCTCATCCTCTGTTGCCCCTTTCTCCTCCTGCCCTCAATCTTTCCCAGCATCAGGGTCTTTTCCAATGACATCAAAGACACAGTCTTACACATTTTTTTTTTTTTTTGGCCACACTGCACAGCTCGTGGAATATTAATTCCCTGATTAGGACTTGAACCTGGGCCACAGCAGTGAACACCCAGAATACTAACCACTAGGTCACCAGGGAACTCTCTTCATAGACGTTTTTGAGACAAAGCATCTTATATCAAAATGACATACTGATATTTTACATAATGATCACCAAGGATACATAGTCCAGATAAGCACTCACATAGGAGCAGCAAGTCACCAGGAGCCCCTACAGAGCTGGGGAAGAACTCTTCTTTAAGAAGTTTCATTGCTGACATCTGAAGAAAACAAATTGATCTTCTCTGCAGATCAGGTACCTTTTTGAGGAACTCTGGTTCCTGTGTGATGCCGGTGCACATTGTGAATCGCCAGGGCCCACAGCAGTGAAAGCACTCAGTCCTAACCAGTGAACAACCATGAAATTCCCAAAACATAGATTGAAAATGAAATACTGGTCCTTTGGAAGTGGAAAAGAAGTGGAGTGAGCCCTACACGGCCCCAGCTGATGACTTGGAGACAGTTTTCAGGCCCCGGTGCAGGGCCCGAAGCCAGGCAGACTCCCTGAGTCGAAGAGATGGAGCTGATAGTCCTAAGGGACAGAGTTCATAGCACAGGGGTCCGAAAGAAGAGAGGTACCAGGACAGAAGTCCAGAAAGCTGCAGGGGACCCTCAGACCTGATTAGAACACCCTTGTGTGGAAACTCTCCCAGGCCAGGGAAAGGACCCCCAGAGGGTTAGACAGCAACCCCTGAGTTCACAGAGTTCTAGTCTTCACCATCCAGAACAGAAACCCTGCAACTACAGGGCAGGTGGCAGAGTGACCAACAGGGTCTTGTCCAGCAGTGAGGAACACTCAGAACAGGTGAAGCACTGTTTCAGGCCTGCCCAGCAAAGTTTACCATCAAGATCTGAAAGGCTCAAGCTGTTTCCAAGTAATGCTGCACACAGAACAGCTCAAGATTGCTCATAGCAGAAAAAAATTAATATCTAGAACCAAACACATTGAAATTAATGTCTGGTGTTCAGTAATAAAAAATTACTGGGCATTCAGGGAATCAGGAAAATCTGACCCACGATAAGGAGAAAGTTCAGTCAGTTGAAAGCACCCTAGAAATATCACAGATGATAGACAAGGACACTGAATAGTAGTTACAGCTGCACTTCCCAAGTTTGAGAAGCTAGAGGAAAGACTGAATGTGTTGGAGACACTGAAGCTATAAAAAACCCCAAATGAGCTTTTAGAAAATTTTGATGGGGGACATCCTTGGTAGTCCAGTGGCTAAGACTCCACACTCCCAATGCAGGTCAGGGAACTGGATCCCTGGTCAGGGAACTGGATCACAATGCCGTAACTAAGAGTTCACATGCTGTAGCTGAAGATCCAGCATGCTGCAACTGACTCAGCCTAGCCAAATAAATAAAAATTAAAAGAAAATGATGATGTCTGAGGTAAGGAACCCATTGGGTGGGAGTAATTGAAATTAGAGTTTAGACATAGAAGAGGAAATTATTAGTAAACTGTAAACATAATAATAAAAACTATTGAAAATAAAAGTTTTAAACTAGGAGTGGAGAAAAGAACATTAGTGAGCTGTGGTCAACATCAAGGGCCTGACATAAGTGTCATTAGCTTCTGGGGTAGGGGGAGGTGAGAAACACTTGAAGAAATAATGACTGGAAGCTTTACAATCGACATAAATGATAAGCCCACAGATCCAAGCACAAGAAGTTTGAAGAAAACTACATTTAAAAACATCATAATCAAATAGCTGAAACCTAGCAATAAAACTGATTTCTGCTCTAACCAGTTCTAGTCAAAGATGTAAGCATAGTGAAGATGAAGATTCACCAAACAAGCTCTATACGTTGGTTACCTATGTACATGTCAGCACTTTAAAAAATCTACAGTTAATGTGGATAAGCACTAACTGGTGATTGTCCACTAAAGTTAGAGAACTGCCAAAACAAAAATGAAACAGACAAAACACTCCAAAAGGTGTGGGAAGTTCTAGCCAGGCCAGTTAGGCAAGAAAATGAAATAAAATGCATCTATATTGAAGAACAGAAGTAAAACTCTTTATCTTCAAACGGTATGATCTTATATGTAGAAAATTCCATGGAATGCACTAAGAAAAACCATCAAAATTAATAAACGAGTTAAGCAAGTTTCCTGGGTACAAGATCAATATTTTAAAATAAATTATATTTCCATGCACTGTTAACAATCTGAAAATGAAATAAAAAATCTATTCAATTTATAACATCAAAAAGAATATAAATCTTATGAATAAATTTAATAAAAGAACAAAACATATTTTGAAAACTATACAACATTGTTGACAGAAATTAAGTATTTAGAAATTCTAAATTAATTTAGAAAAAAATTTTAAAAGACCTAAATAAGCAAAAAGATATTCCACATTCATGGATTGGAATGCTTAACATTGTTAAGGTGACAGTGCTTCCTAAATTGAGCTATAGATTCAATACAACCTCTTTAAAGTTCCAGTTAACATTGAAATTGATGAGGTGCTCCTAAAATTTATATGGAAATCTAAGGGACCCAGAATATCCAAAACAATCTTTAAAAAGAACTAAGTTGTAGGGCTCAAACTTGCTGATTCCAAAGGTTACTACAAAGCTATGATAACCAAGACAATCCAGTACTAGCACAAGGTTGAACATACTGATTTGATGGAATAGAATTGAGAGTTCACTCTATGACAATCTAAGGGTGGAATGGGGAAGGAGATGGAAGGGAGGTTTGGGAGGGAGGGGACATGGGTGTACCTATGATTGATTCTTGATGTATGACAGAAAACCACAAAATTTTGTAAAGCAAATATCCTTCAATTTAAAAAAATAATAAAGTGGTCAGAAAAAAAAATAATTGAGAGTTCAGAAACAAGCCTTCACTTTTAGTCACTTGCTTTTCAACAAGTATGTCAAAACAATCCAGTAGAGGAAAGAATAGTCTTTCAACAAATTGTACTAGGATATCTGAATTTGTTGTTGTTCAGTTGCTTAGTCGTGCCTGACTCTTTCCAACCCCATGAACTGCAGCACTCCAGGCTTCCCTGTCCTTCACCATCTCAGCTTGCTCAAACTCATGTCCATTGAGTCAGTAATGTCATCCAACCATCTCATCATCTGCCATCCTCTTCTCATCCTGCCTTCAATCTTTCCCAGCATCAGGGTCTTTTCTAATGAGTTGGCTCTTTGCATCAGGTGGCCAAAGTATTGGAGCTTCAGCATCAGTCCTTCCAATGAATATTCAGGATTGATTTCCTTTAGGATTGATTGGTTGGAACTCCTTGCTGTCCAAGGG